ACATAATCAATCATTTTGTAGTCCCCCGAGTCCCAAACAAATTTTTCCTTCAGCATCGCATCTTCAAACATTCGTGACATCTAAACTTCACAAAACTGTCATGAAGCTGCAATTAATTCAAGAAACTTCGCAAATTTTCACTGTTTGTTCAGATTTCACCACTATCACTTCTACTGAGCATTGCATGAGTGACGTATCGTTCATTTTAATGGTCAGTGAGGCTTGTACGGTTGTCATGGTAACAATGATGACCAAAGCTAGTTTTAAAGATTATTTGCGGGTTGAGGAAAACGCTAAAATATAATTAGCATTGCGTTAAGCTAGCAGTGTACAACACTATACTGGTTACCCAATTCGCTGAATGCTTTCAAATTCACTCATCTATAATTAACATCTCGGTTCCCCCTATAACATCTAAATGTCCATCTAATATTATCATCGATCTACAATTACTTATGCTAATTTAATGCTGATTGTAAGTTTGACGCTTCGTATCGGTGATCCTCAAACATAAGTTGACAACTGATTCTTATCTTTATCATCATTACCGACCTCATTCACATCATTCCCGATCCATTCCTTGTTATGAATGTGCATGTTCAATTCATCTGCATCGATTCAAGTGCTTTCTGTTCTGCTGATTTCTATGAGCGTGTTTGTTCGTGGTGCATCTGATGAGTGCTACACAGCTGCTGTAATTATCAGTACACTATTTGCAAGCTTTTTGATTGTTACGGTTGTGTTCGGAATGGCTTATTTGGTCTATATTAAGCCACGTTATGAGCAGTACAAAAGGGATGTGTCCGAATGCCGTGCAAAACATGGTTGGTCTTTAGAGTAATTATTCAACCTTAATTTCGACAAGTAACTTTGTCTCATTAAGTGCTTACTTCATTATTAAACGGACCGCATGCATGCATTCCTTTTCGGAGACAATGCTGGGAGCATGCAGTATGTATTTTGCAGGTTGGGAACGACTCAGGTTCAGATTTTAATTTTGGACATCCTT